TGATGGTTATTTCCTGATCAAGTGTCATTTATACTAATAGTGCATTTTTTACTCTACCCTGTATAACTTTTCTTGGCAATTTTTTTCAAAATTAATTTTTAAATATTTAAAAACTAGATTCAATTCTCTAAATTTGTCTCTAATATTATAATATTAAAATATACAAATTAAACTACTGAAATAAATTTTAAAACTGATGGTTATTTCTTGATCGAGTGCTATTTATACTAATAGTGCATTTTTCACTCTATCTTGTATAACTTTCGCTAGATTTTTTCTAAATAATTTTGTTTAGATTTATAAACATAGATAAAATTCCTTAAATTTGTCTCTAATATTATAATATTAAAATATCAAAATTAAACTACTGAAATAAATTTTAGAACTGATGGTTATTACCCGATCGAGTGCCATTTATGCTAATAGTGCATACTTTTGCTATAACCAGTATAACTTTTGCTAGCAATTTTTTTAAGTAATTATATTTAGGTATTTGCATTCTATATAAAATTCTCTAAATTTGTCTCTAAGGTGATGATACTGATAAATGTAAATTTTATTCATAATTTTTGCTTTCCTTCAGGGTAGATATTTTCAAGTTCTTGTTCCCAAATAGTCATTTGTTTTGTGATGTTTAAATTTTGTTTAAAAAAATATTTATATATTTAAAATCAATATAAAACGCTCTATAATTTGTGAACGTAAAAAAATATTACTAAATTTAATTTTTAACTATTAAATAATTCAAAAAACGTGTATTCTATATCTTGATCATTTGTTGTATATTGTCATGGTGTATTTATTTATTTTATCCTATATAACTTTCGCCAGAATTTTTTTTAAATAATTATTGTTAGATGTTTGAAAACTTGATAAAATCTATTATAATTTAGTCTATAACTACTGAGTTTATTTTTGAAAGTTAAATTATACTAAGAATATATTCAATGTCCTGATCAATTATTACTTTTTGTTTTGCTACATTTTTTTCAGTTTATCCAATATAACTTTCGCTAGCAATTTTTTTAAACAAATATGTTTAGATATTTTAAAACTAGATAAAATTCTCTAAATTTTTCTCTAATATTATAATAGTAAGTAGATCAAATAAACTTACAAATTAAATTACGAAAATTGACTATTGTCTTCTGATCTCAATCCACTTCAGACAACTTGACATACTATGGTGCATTCATTTAATTTATCCTATATAACTTTCGCTAGAATTTTTTTACTGTAAATAAATTTAGTTATTTGAAAACTAGATAAAATTATATAAATTAGTCTCTAATATTGTAATATTAAAATATTACAATTTAATTACCAAATTGAATCTTAATGCTTTTATTATTATTCCGTAATCAAGTTGCAATTGCAAAAGTTAGATGGCGGTGTATTTTTTTACTTTGGGCTATCACACTTTTATTAGAATTTTTTTTAATATAAATCCGGTTTGATATATAAAAACTGGATAAAATTCTCTAAATTCGACTCTAATATTATAATATTAAATTGTAACAATTTAACCATGAAATCAAATTTTAAACCTGACCGTTATCTCCATTTTAGATAATGGTGCATTATATCACTTTATCCTGCATAATTCTTATCAGATTTTTTTTATTATAATTTGTTTAGATAAATCAAATCTAGATAAAATTCTCTAAGTTAGTCTCTAATATTAATATTATTAAAATAGACAAATTAAACTACTGAAATAAATTTTAAAACTGATGGTTATCTTCTTATCGAGTGCTATTTATGATGATAGTGCATCTTTCTCCAATGTATTCTGTATAACTTTTACTACTTATTTTTTGAAACAAATATGTTTAGATATTTTAAAACTAGATAAAATTCTCTAAATTTGTCTTTAATATTATAATATTAAAATTTTACAACTTAATTACCAAATTGAATCTTAAAGCTCTTACTGTTGCCCGATAAAATTATCTAATTTAGTCTCTAATATTATAAAATTAAAATATTACAATTTAACTTTTAAATTGAATCTTAAAGCTTTTACTGTTGTTTCTTAATCCAAGTTGATGATGATTTTTTTGTACTTAACGTTATCTAACTTTTACCAAGAATTTTTTAATATAAATTTATTCAGATACATAAAAACGAGATAAAATTCGTCTCTAATATTATTTTATTGTAGAGAAATTATTTAACCATGAAATCGAATTTCCAAACTGACCATCATTCCTTTTTCAGACAATGGTACATTATTTTACTCCTGTAAATATGTTTAGATATTTGAAATGTAGATAAAATTCTCTAAATTCGCCTCTAATATTATAATATAAAAGGGTAACAATTTAACTACCAAATTGAATCTTACAATTCATTGTTGCTCCATAATCAAGTTGCAATTGCAAGAGTCAGATGAGGGTGCATTTTTTTACTTCATCTTCATAACTTTCGCCAAATTTTTTCTACTGTAAATGTGTTTAAGAAAATTATCTAAATTTGTCTCTAATATCATAATATTGTAGTGTAACTATTTAACCACCAAATTGAATTTTAAAACTGGCCGTTATCCCTGTTTCATACAATGGTGCATTATTAGACTTTATCCTGCATAACTCTCACCACAATTTTTTAAATTACAATCTGTTAAGATACGTAAAATCTAGATAAAATTCATACATAAAATCTAGATAAAATTCTCTAAATTTGTCTCTAATATTATAATATTATAATGTAACAATTTAACCACGAAATTGAGTTTTAAAACTTCTAATGTTGCCCCAAAATCGAGTTGCAATTGCAAAAGTCAGATGATGGTTCGTTTTTTTTATTTCATGTTTCATAACTTTTGCAAAAAAATTTTTACTGTAATTGTGTTTAGATATCTGAAATATAGATAGAATTCTCTAAATTCGTCTCTAATATTATAATATCATAGTAAAATTATTTAACCACCAAATTGAATTTCAAAACCGACCATTGCCCCATGATCAGGCGATGACGCCAATTCGTCATGTGCCGACGTGACCGGTCGCCAATTTTTGCAATTAAATTACGAACAAAAATATGTGCATATTTTAAGAAGAAAAATAGAAAAACATTTTAAAATGCAATAAAACAAACGTGTAAGCAGTTACTAGAACTACATAATAAGTTTCCCATGATAATAAGTAATTATCCTATTATACTTACTAGCCAATAATAATAAACTTCTACAATTCTTCTATTCATTTATTTATTGTGTATGTTGAAAATTCAAATCAAATCGTATAAATGACTTAAAAAAAATTCTTCCATATTTTTGCAAAAACTGATTTCGTAAATTTAAAAATCACCTGAATGATATAGTCCCAAATCTCAAACTGATTTTATTATTGTTTATTATCATCGAGAAGTTTATGCCTGAAGGCAATATGCCAGATTCACCTAGTTTAATTTGTTGTTTTCCATTTTGTTAATTTGTAATATTCATAAATATTAATTTTAAAAAAGTGTTATCGACTACAACAATATTATCGCACTCGAAAACAATTATAAATGTATCTGGAACACGTTTGCATAAAATTAGTTTTAATAAGTTCAAAGTTTAAAACCATGAATATTCTATTAATTTCCGCATGATGATAATAAAATCACTTACTTAAATTACATCATAATGAATTTTTTTTTAAATATTTTAAGATAAGCTTGCTCTATTGTCCTATAATAAGATAAGAGAGACAAGAGAGCAAGAAACTGAATTGGATACTTGAATGTGATAATTGAGATAAAGTGAACTTTTAAATTAATTTTAGGGTAAACCGAGTTGTCGTAGAGCATTGTTGTGTTAGAAAATATTATTGATATTTTTATTTTGAACAAATTTGCCAAATACATCATTCATATTAATCGAATGGTTTAAAAGTTATAAGGGATTTATTACAGCAATGGGCCAGCAATATATTTTAAATAGCATTAAACTTATTTTTGACGTGCAACTCAAAATGTACACTTTTCAATGAAGATTTTAGGGTACACCGAGTTCTCGTGGGAGATTATGATGTTATAAAATATTATTGACTATTTAATTTTGAACAAATTCTCCAAATACATCGTTCATATTAATCGAATGGTTTAAAAGTTATAAAGGATATAATACAACAAGTTAATGTCATTACTTCTAAAACGCAACCTAAAAGTTACAATTTTCAAATAATTTTTAGGGAATATAGAGTTGCTGTAGGTCATTATGTTGTTAGAAAATATTATTGACTATTTAATTTTGAACAAATTCGCCAAATATTTCATTTATATTAAAGGAACGGTTTAAAAGTTACAACAGATTCAATAACTTTATATACAGTTTAATCGTTGTTTTCTGATACATTTGTCTCGTTTCAAAAGCGATTTTAGTATACCAAGTTGCTGTAGGGCAATAAAATGTTAGACAATATTAAAAATAATTTAATTTTATACAAATTTGTCAAATATTTCAATTATATTAAACGAACGGTTTAAAAGTTATAACAGATACAGGGCAATATAATGTTATACAATATTATAAATAATTTAATTTTGTACAAATTTGTCAAATATTGTATTAATATTAAACGAACCGTTTTGAAGTTACAACGGTTATAACCAAAATATATACTCGAGAGTGTCAATAATTTTTAATCAATTATTATTATATTTTTTTTAAAATTTTGTACTTTTTTGTCATTTTCCATTATAATTTAAAGCACACCAAGTTGCTGTAGGGTTGTACAATGTTAGAACTTCTTTTAGTTTATTCAATAGTGTATAAATTTGTTGAATATTTTATTTTTCCAAGACTCACGGTTCAAAAGTTACAACACTTGTAATGAATAAATGCACAAAAATATTCAATACAATAGTTGCCTAATACCGAAATATCGATTTTGGATTGATTTTTTCAATATACCGAGTTGTTATAGAGCATTATGATATAAGACATCTTTGTAGATTATATAAATCTGCACCAATTTGCCGAATATTTCACTTGAAATGAACGAACAGTTTAGAAGTTACAAGAGTTTTAATATCTGAAGGCGCGTACGAGTTGCTGAACTATATACAGTACAGCGGGTCGATATAGATAAAAAAAATGTCATTACTAATATGGCATGTGGGGTCTCATTTGAAAGGTCTCGACGAACTGAGGTTAAATTTTATAATTTTAAACTTTTAAAATTAATGTAGCTCCGGATACTACATTTTTTTAATATCAATCATTTTAATATGTTTATTTACACGTTCTATAGAAATTATTGTTAAATAAAATAATAACAATAAATTTGATTCAGTGATAAATTTCAATAAAACAGCTTTAACAGATGAATAAATAAATTCTGGAATGTTGCATCGATATAATAATACAAGGAAATCGTGAATGTCTCATCGTTTTCTGATGTAATATTGTTCGCAATATTGCAATTGACATTTGTTGAATACAAATAATTTATTTAAACAATCAATGACTAATTTGTTATATAAATTACCTAACCTAGTGCATGGTAGATGATTGAAAAAATAACGCAATAATAATAAATTAATAATAATTTAAGTGATTGTTCTCACTTTTATTCGAACGAGTGAAATTTAAAAGAATTTTAAAAGACGAATTAAATTTAATAGAAGTGTAAAAAGTTTTAGTTCGTGAATAAATTATATAAATAATATAATAATATGTTATTAATAATACTTATAGGATATTCTGCTCTAAAACAAATTAAATAAATTTAAAATCAAAAGTAGTGATTTAAGATTCGTACTTTTTTTAGTTAAGTCATTTATTATTCTTCAGTGTTTATATCCATGTCCAAATAAATAATAAATAAAATAATAAAAATAATAAAATAATAAAAATAATAAAATAATAAAAATAATAAAATAATAAAAATAATAAAATAATAAAAATAATAAAAATGTGCATTATGACAATCCATTCAAAGTGAAACCAAAATTAGAATAATCGACTATGTCTACCTATTTCAAATGGCTTCGAAAAGGGAGCTCCTCCTCCCAGGAGCCCTATTCGATAGGTTCGAGAAAAAATTCGGGTTCCAAAAATGACCTAAGGCTTTTGAGCCCTAATTGGGATCACATTTCGGTCAGGGAAAGGAGCAGATCCTTGGATCCAGATGCTTTGGAGAGGTCTGGGGTTCGAAGGATTGTTGAAAAGGTCAATAATTATGAAAAATTAAGGAAAGGAAACATTTTTTAGACGAAAGAATTTATTTTTGTCTTGATGATAATTGTTTGATCTTATATATGTCAGTTTTTTCTTCTAATTCATTCATAATTTTAATTATATTAGTTTATTTTGATTATCTTGGAACTAAGAACATGCCTTTGTCAGATGCCTTGATGATGGACCCTACGTTGTTTCGAAACGTCCAAAATCCAAAAAAGTGTTTTGGTTTTTGATTTTTGTTTTTTATTTGTTTGAAGAACAATACAATGTATACCAATCTGCACAATCACACACATACACACACATATATATTATACAAACTAGTGGGGCGCATGGCATCATGCCTTAAGGCAAATTGCTGGAACTTTCCGTACCAATAATTATTGTTTTTTAAAAAATTAACATTTTTGGAAAAAATTTACTCTGAAAAATTAGATTTTTGAGAAAAAGACTTTTTGAAGAAAAATGTATTTTGAAATATTTTGGAAATTCTGAACTTTTTTTCAAAGCAATCGTACTGCTTTAACTGCATAGAGAAAAAATATCGAAGCGCGTGAGCGCCGCGCCGCCGTCTAACGGATAAGCATTGGTACGGAACCCATAGGAATGTAAACAAAATTTATACTTATTGTTAAAATCTCTATAAAATATCTGATAATTTGATGTGCATATGTCTAATGATCATTTTTGACCTTTGCCAAATGGCATTTTTTTTACTTTTTTTACTAGATCTCCGAAACCGCTAGACTTGCCTTCATAAAAATTTGATCAGTTCTTCATCTTGTTAATACAAGTAAAATGATTTTTGAATTATTCAAATCGGACGCTCCGTTCTCTTAAAAACTGAGTTACCGTTTTCGGCACTTTTAGCCCCGTATCTTCGGAACGGCTAGACCTGCCTTTGCCAAAAACTAATCAGTACGTCTCCTTATCAATATGAATCGGATGTTTTTTGAATTATTTAAATCGGTTAATCGGTGTTCCCGAAATCGTCGACGGAAATTTGTATCCGCACACACACATACGCGCACACACACACATACATACACACACACACATACATCCATTTTTTCTAAGATATGCCAAAATGTTCAGAAGGTTTTGAAACGTAAAGATATATAAAAATTTTCATTTTCGATTTTTTGCGATTACTATAACTCTATAATATATAAATATTATATATATATACTATAAATTTTTATTATTAAATATTATATATAAATATTTTTTTTTTTCAGAGGGCTGTGACACATCAACAACAACTTTTAGCTGCGCAAAGTGAGTACTTTTTTTATTATTTTAATATTAATTTATTTATTTTATAATATATATAAAGATCGCTCCACCAAAAACATTAAAAATTGTTATATAGTATAATATGTATATTCTAAAAATATTAAGTTAGATAAAATCTTTCTTATCAAGGCTAATTATCATAAATCACTTGTTGTAGTTTTGTGGTAAGATAGTGGACTTGCAACTACTTGCAACCCACTGATATCGAGCAGTATTAATATCAGATTTAGATTTTTAGTGAAAATAGTCTGTGAGGGAATTGTTGTAATATATAGTTTGTTCTTGGTTTTACATTGATGAGAATTTACTATGCATTATATAATATTATATAAAAATAGTTACTCGACTAGTATCGTGAAGTCTGAATTTCTCGTAAAGCCAAGCCAGTTTTGCACCTATGTTTATATATATATATATATATATATATATATATATATATTATAATATATATATATATATATATAGTTTAATATTATAATCCTTTGCTGATTGTCTCAAACCAGTCAAATATTTACAAGCGCTATCTACCCATGACGTCTTATCATTATTTCAACTCTAGATAAGAACCCGACTTGTCTCGTGTTTGTTTCTTCGGAACGTGTTGCAGAAAATATAATTTTGTTAAATATTTGCTAATTTAATTATTTAATTAATTATTTATATATGGATTTAACAAACAATTGTTTTATTAAAGACAAAAATTCAGAGATCAGAGAACATTTCATTAAAATAAACAAAAATTGCACTTTTAGCTTTTGATTAATTTTCTGTGAATTTAATGTATACCGAATTATACAGTAGAGTGTTATAAAATAAATTAAATAAATTTTATAGATTATTTAATTTTTCGCAAATTTTCTAGTTATTTCAATGTCCAGTTATTAGGATGTGCAATTATTTGATTTTCATTTTTTTAGATGCCCAATTTTTTGCTTTTCCAGTTTTTTTTAATGTCAAGTTTATTAAATGTTCAATTTTTTAGTTGTACAGTTTTATGGATCTCTAGTTATTTGTATTTCCAGTTATTTGAAATTTTTTCGATACCCCATTTTTTGGTTCCAGTTTTTTTGTATATTTAGGACAAACCGCTTAAAAGCTACAAGATATATAATAAATAATTACACATCAAGTGTCAAATCTCCAGTAAAATAGATCTCCATTTTACGCTCCTTTCTTTATATAAAATGGTACTAAAAACTGTCAAAATGCTGTGCAGTTGCTGGACAATCAGGCGTTTTACACATAAAACCTAACTTTACGTATGTGATTAGAAAGATGCACTTATGACATTCTTATCTGATGTCTTTATGTTTTTTTCTAGGTTAAGTTTTATATGTACACAGCAAATACATAGCATTTTGACAGGTTTTTCGTACCATTTTATATGAAGAAAAGAGCGTAACATGGTGGTCTATTTTACTGGAGAATTGGCTTCTTAATAGTGGCTTGCCATGAATTTAATATAAATACACAAGAAGACGTCCATTAGTCACGTGATCAATTTTTTAAAAATTTTTGTACCCCTCCTCTCCCTTGGTATAGCATTGCGGTATTTAAAATTGCCCCTCTTCCCATAAAAAAATTGAAAAATAAATACACATGATATCTTACTAACTTTTTTCATTTTATATTCAATTTATTGTATTTTTTCTTGGTATTATTTCTTTTTTGCACCTATCAGCTTTGTAAATAAGACCTTAAAGTCTTGATTGACAAAAATAAATTATAACAAATATATATATATATATATATATATATATATATTACAAATGTATTCTGAGTGGATAATAGATATTAATTTGGAAATATGAACAAACAACACTCTTTTTGCACTAATTTATTAAATAATAATTTTCACAAACGTTTCGAGACTAGGTTTGTCTCATCATCAGTGTGTTATAATTAATTAATTATAACACACTGATGATGAGACAAACCTAGTCTCGAAACGTTTGTGAAAATTATTATTTAATAAATTAGTGCAAAAAGAGTGTTGTTTGTTCATATTTCCAAATTAATATATATATATATATATATATATATATATATAACCATCTTACAACCCGCTCCCACTCCTTCACTACACTTGCGTGACTACACTTGCGTTGTAACCTTGATCAGTGTCCATAATGCACCGCTTTCAATAACATAAAATATAAGAGGGCAATATGTGCTCCTTCAATTTTTCGTTTGTTAATACAATAGTATATTATTATTTTATATTAGACAAATTTAGTGTTCAATCAATTTTACATCATAATTAATTTTTTCTGTTGTTTTTCTTGGTTTGGTATGTATAATTTCCTCCTTTATATATATTTATATTAGTCCAGTCATTTGGTGCAAAAAAAGGCTGTTGCCGGTACAGTACTCCGGGAATTCTGAAAATTGGTAATCTTATAGATTTCGAGGTGCTCTTTACGAAAATCAACTTTGCCACCTCAAATTTGAACGGCAAGTTGCCGCCATATTGAAAAAATGGCGTCAAAAAACAGCTTTTTTAAAATATCTCCTTTCTGGCTCAATCTACGATAAAAGTATCT